ATATATAGAATATGAGTTATACACTTAACGTTAGCGACGACAATAATAGTAACAGTAATAAAGTTTTATTTAATAAAAAGACAGTAGCTAATTTATTTTGTAGCAGTATTTAAAATATAGTGTTTATCACAATACCTCCCGCACAATAGCACTTCCGTAATAATACGAGGCCTTCTCGTAGACCAGAACAGTGTCATTGCATTTCTGGGTTTGGGTGTAATGTTTGTGGGCTCATCAATGGTTAGGCATGTAAATTTGGCAAGTTTCTTAGGAGCAGTTATAATTCTACGCAATTAAAACGCTATCAATCAATCAATCATATATCGGTAAATTCATGTTGTCGCAGATAGATCGGTGCTGTAAAGCACCGAAGAGTTGAGCTGAATTTTAGGACGATACATCACCGTTACGATGATACGAAGAGCTAAAGCATTGATGTCCAATAAGCTGCAACTCACTGGATGGGTCATTGATTTCTGCACAGTAACAAATGACGCACCGGCGGCACAGGTTATATTTTGATAAACGTATAGGTAAATGCACATGGTACATCCGAACTACTAAGTCTTCCAAATAAACGATATCGCTGTATTCCATCTGAAACAAATTAAAGAATACTAGCATTTGATGTTACAACTCCGACAGTCAACCAGTGGACTCTGGAATTTTGCCGACCTTCGCCGTATTTGGTACTGACCCCAAACTAAAGGCTGTAAGCCGGCTGCTAGGACACCTGATTAGTTGTTGTCTACACGCTCAATTCACTTGCTTAAATTTTCTTTTATATTTCTATACCTGTCAATAGAACGTTAATGGTGATGTCAAGGTTTCATTGGGGATTTTTTGCTAGTTACAAGTAGCCGTAATTGAACTTAAGGATTGCTACATTTAGGCAAAAGAAAGTTAAAAATCAGAATGCGCTGGCGAACACTGCGAAAGCGCAAGTGTTATCTGTCTACACAAATAAGGGGGTTGTGTAACTGTGATACGTAGGTACCTTAGAACCTGCTTTGCTGGTTCGAGATCTGTTCTATTATAGCTAGATGGTATATCTTCAGCTAATATCTTCAGTAGGTAGTGTGCCAATCCCAAAGCCGATCGGCAACTTTTAGTAGTCGCTGGCCGGGTAATGAGCACCACCACCACCAATTTACATATATATACATAGCGATTCCCATAGTACTGCTGATAATTAGGCTTATCGGACAAGTATACGCAGATCAACTGGCAAATAATGTAAGTTTTTTAGGACCGTTTGTCAAAAGAGGAATATTAAAGACAATAATAATAGCGTGCGTATTGACGACAATAACAATAAGGAAAATAAAGGATGACATTGACAGGGAAGATAACGTTAAAAGGATAATCCTCTCACGTTGACGATTCATTGTGCGGGTACACGCAGCGGCAACGCTTTCAAGTATTAAATGGGAGATCCCACGAAGCGCATTCCCCACTGCTCACCACGCCAAAGAGGTCCCAAAGAAGTAGTGAACCTTCAGAAGAACCAAAATGGTGCGTACTGCGCCCGCTTAGCGAAGTGTGAAAATTCATTGATACGCGCGTCGTTTACGCGTCGCACGCGATTGACGTCCATTCGACAAACCCGCTCAATGGCAATGCAGGAGTCGAATGGGTCTGTATAGGTGAGCAAGGAAAACATCGAGGACGAACATAGCGAAAAGACATGTGTTGAAGCTCACAGATATTTAACGACAGACAGCTGCTATTGAGTGGGAAATAAAATTACTCTGCAGGCTTCATCCTGGGCAATGGTTCTAGAAATATGTTGGGCTGCTGGCGAGGATGACGTGAAGAGACGAGTTCCTCACGTCATAGCTACCCGCAGAGAAAGGATGTTTTGGAAACTTGTCGCTGGGAAAGCTAACCGTGGGCCGCCCTTCAAAGCTCGAATATTGAGGGACCAAGCGGGTGAATGGACCTTAACTCTGGGGTGGGAGCAATCTGAACATAGCTGCGCCTGAAAACATCACGAAAATTGAGAAACGAGGTGTCTCCGGCAAACGCTAAGGCAGCCGTTTCTTCGTACGGATTGTCCGCTTCACTTACCTGTCCGCTTGCGGGTAAGTTACAGCTGTCCTCATATGGCGAATGTCGGAGCGCGCAAAACAGAGCTTGACATGCTGACCTCGGAATTAGCTCGCACATTGCCCTAGACGAAGGCCTGTATCCCATCGTAGTGATTTTGAACGGCGAGCATCTATCAGTGGACGGTCTTTGCTAAGCTTGAAATCTCGCAAGGTATTGGCGAAACAGAGTCGGCATTCCGGTTCGCCGTGCTATTCCGGTATCGGACGTCGAAATCATACTCTAGCAGTTCCAGGGTCATGCAAGCAAACATATGATAAAGGTCCTGCTCGCTCTGTACATATATAAATACTCTACTTTCGGTAGCCATTACGATTCGCCGCTTGTACAGGTTCGGGCGGAACTTATTAACAGTAGAGACAACCATGCGATATTTCACCTTTTACGACGCCATTGTAGTTCTTAGATCGAGAGAGGCAAAGTAGCGTTGGCCGCCGCGTGTTCCACGTCGCTATCAAACTGAAGCAGCGCAAGTTCACTCATCAGGATCTCCTTAAAGATTAAAGCCTTTTTTGGTAAGAAACACCCCATACAAAAGGGACACTCCTTTTTAATAGATCTTTAATTGTTTGGCGACTTGGAACCGGACTTTTAGTTAGTTTCAGCCCCAGAAAGTTTCGAAACTGTTGAAAAGTAGCGGGGGTGTTAGGGTGAGATCCTCAGAAAAGAAGCACTTCGGCCGAAATAAAAGACCTCGTTCACAAGAAACAAACATATCGACATCTTTAGGTGCAAATCGGCGGCGCCGAAGACAGAAGGTATTTTTCGCAGATAATGTAGATGCTTTTTTAAACCTAGAAAGAATGCGATGAGGTCACCGCTGGAACACTGCCTCAGCATGGGCTGGTCCGAAGGGCCTTCGCCTAAATTTTTTGTAACTGGGTTCTGCCAATAACCATTCATTACTCAATCTGTGCTCTTCCTGACGCGTCAAGGGCATCGTCGATTCGCGGCAACGAAAATCGGTTCACTTCATGAGCGCATTCACAGATCCGGATCAAAACGTCCATCTTCTTTGCCAGAACGACGACTGGAGAAGCCCAAGGGCTCGAAGGCGCTTGTTTACGTCATTGTCATACTTCCTCTGCAATGCAAACCCGTTGTGTTCACGCAACTCGTCGTAGATGTACGTACAGGAAGGGTGGTCACTGACGGTCTCAGTGTAACTCACGCGATGCGTCACGGGTAGCTTTACTATTTTTTTTTTTTTTCGAACAAATGCCCGAATTCATCAACAACCAAATATATATGGAATTCGATTGATACATTTGATGCATGGGAGGTGGGTGTTTTAGATCGAGCCTCGATAGTATTTAAAACACACTATTAAAAATTTAATCGCAATCTTATTTTAATACGGCAACTAAGTGAGCTCTAGAGTATACTGCTTTCCATCCCTAGACAGGAACAATAAGGCTTCTATAATACTTCTCTTAAAGTTGACAACAGTCTAGAAACTTCTTACGTACATGCTGATTATCCTATCCTATTAATTTGTCATAAGTGAATTTCGATAACAGTTTGCAGATGTAGCAGGTGTAGTAGCATTGCAGGCCTGAATGGGCCTTTCACGGAGTTACGTATCAAACGGAACAGCTTCTTCTACACAACAGCGGTTACAGCAAACAATTATCGTAACCGAATTTTCCCTATCTAGTCAATACGTGATACAGGCTGCTACTATTGTTCAAAAGCATATCCTTATTATTCTAAAAAACTTGCACATGTTGAAGACATTTTCGTAAGTGTAGCTTCAGCGATAAATCAGCTTCAATGCTATGAGTTCACCCACGAAGCCTCTGTTCGTGTTCAGCGATGGTTCCTGCGGTTGACTTTTGCACCAATTATCAATGGTTTCTGATTAAAGTAAAAGATTTCAGTACATTGTCTTGATTCATTCTTAAGCGAGTCCAGGAGCGATGGCATCAACGAATCTGTAGGCTGTCACGGTAACAGAGGATATCTGTCTGACTGGCAACCCGCGTGACGTGCGCCTTATGTGCACGTGAACAGTCAGTGTTAACAAAGTTACATTACAAGTTTAGATTAATTTTTTCTATTTGCCGTGAATTTTTCGTTGTATTATAGTGAAATGTGCCTCTTCTAGAGCCTTATACACACGTCAGAAGGCGTAAATTGCTGATTTGAAATCACCGAAAAAGGAACAGTATTATGTCGTTGGCGCACCGTTTAGCCATTTTGAGCTACCTTTATGTCTTTCGTGTTAATATGCAATAATGCAATTACACTTTTAGTGATTTGTTACTAGTTTGTAACGCGTTTCATGAACAGAGTCTCCCAAAAATGCATCCATTGTTTCTCATTGTGCGGCCTTTTTAGGTTGCAACTAACTGAGAACAGCGAGTGAAGGAAAGTTAACCTTTGAAGTTATATCAAAATGCTATCAGAGATATGAACATGCAGGAGAAGTGTAAAGACGATCTCGTAAGCAGCTTCAGACAGATCGACCTGTGCAACCTATAATGAGTCGAATAAAAAAAATTAGCTTTAAACCTTAAAAATGATATTTATGCCAAAAAATCGACGGTATATATTCTACCCGTAATTGTTGCGTCACAGCACCAACTAAAACCTTTGATGGAAGCTGTGAATCCATAGCCTATCGTTATTAGCAGTACCTTAAACGGTAATATCTTCGAGCAATCGTCGCAGAAAAAAAATACGCCTTGTCCATATAAATTCGTTCACAATTTAAATATTAATTACTTAATTAAATACATTAAAATTCATTAAATAAAAATTAAAGCTAAAACCGT